ATCTTTAAAAAAATTTTAAAAAATATGATGCTTTAAAGTTACACTACAGAATTGGAAGTCACCTCAACAATGTATGTCATTAGAGGCAATTTAAGTTTTATTAGCTTATCTGGGACACACACGCCCAACAAAGATGGATTGAGAAGCTAGAGAGTGTGGTCCACTTGGTCCCAAGCAAAGTTGTTTAATAAACACAATTTGCCTTTGCTATCCTTTCACCTCACCTATTTGGTTTTCACCCTTCCAACTTCTTTGTGATAACACAGCCCCACTGACAACTCCTCCCCATCACCCCCATCTTATTCTGTATCCTGGATGGGAAGGTACATTGGAAAGTACCCCTCTTAGGTCTCCCTTTGTACTTTGTGCATATCAATACTTTTGTGAGTTTTTAATGTGCAAAAGTAGCCCTGAAAAGAGCTGAGTTTGAGAGTGGGGACAAAATTGAATTGGGAGTGAGAAAAATCCAAACTGGAGCAGGAAAGGACTCAGCCCTTGAAGGAATGTTTAAAGAGGAGAAATGAGAGGGGGATTCCGAATCCAGTAGGATGATGTGGTCACTGAGAAATTCCCAATGGAGGGGGTTTAAATGATTTTGTAAGTTAAATTAAATTTTTAAAATTTTAGTCTTCTGGGGGCATCTGGTTGGCTCAGTCAGTTAAGCATTTGCCTTCAGCTCAGGTCATGATCCCAGAGTCCCAGGATGGAGCCCCGCATTGGGCTCCCTGCTCAGCGGGGGTCTGCTTCTCCCTCTACCACTCCCCCTGCTCATGCTCTTGCTCTCTCTCTCAAATAAATAAATAAAATCTTTAAAAAAAATTTTTGGTCTTCTGGAAAAGACATATATATGGTTTATAAATCAAAATATATTCAGTGAAATGTCTTAGTCCAACTTTTGTCCCCATCTACCCCATTCCACCCTCTCCCACTCCCAGGTAATTTCTTTTTTAGTTTCTAGGGTATCTTTCCAGTGTTTATGCAAATACAAACCAACATTAATTTATGTTTTAATTTTCTAACTTCTAAAAATATTTTAATAGCAATGTCTAATATTCACTTCAAGTTATTTGAGATGTGAGGCAAATCTTCAAAATTTAGCAAAATCTGCTTCACATGTCTTTTTTTTTTTTTTTATTTTAGAGCGAGAGAGTGAGTGAGCATGAGTAGGGGGAGGTGCAGAGGGAGAGAATCATCAAGCAGACTCCCCACCGAGTGGGGAACCTGAAGGGGGCTCAACCTCCTGACTGATGAGAGCATAACTAGAGCTGAAATCAAGAGTCAGACACTTAACTGAAGGAGCCACCTAGGCACCCCACAACAGTCTTGTTTATTGTGTGGTTGTGATTGTGTCAAGGAACAGGACTGATTTCCATATCTGGGTTGACATGATGTGGAACAGTAAGTAATGTGTAGAATGCAGAGAGAAGCCATACACCGATTAATTCAGCAGGAGAAAATTGAAGCCAAAGGTGTTTGTGAGAACATAAACTCACAAAGAATTGATAGAAATCTTGGGAAGGTGTTGGGTTTTCCACAGAATGTGTAGTGGTGGTTGGAGCCTATCTTATTTAGGCTTTAAAGGACAGAGTGGATTCAGTTGATACATGAATTATACATTATTGCCTTCAACTATGAAATAATCCTTAGTTAATTATTAACTGTTATGCTGGACCTTGGTGATAACACATCTCATTGCTAAGCTGAGAAGCTTAGATATTTCTAAAGGCAAAGGAGGAGTCATTGAAGGTTTTTAACAGGGGAATGACATAATCAGAATTATATTACTAGAAGTTTAATTTGGCAGCCCCCAAATTAACAATGCTATTCCTAGATTTGGGAATACCCTTTAAAAGTATATTGGTTACCTATTGCTGCAAAATAAATTATCCCCAAATTTACTGCTTAAAACAACAAGCATTCATTATCTTAGTTTCTGTAGATCAGAAATCTGGGCATAGTCATTGCAAGATTCAACTCTTCACTGGCTACTAGACTGGGAACCCCAGTTCCTCCAAGGTTATTGGCCAGAGACCTCCCTCAATTCTTTGCCAAGTGAGCCTTTCCATAGGATAGTTCATTACATGGCAGCCAGCTTCCATCAGAGTCAGCAAGTGAGAGAGCAAGAAAGAGAAAGCAGAGATATGCATAGAAGATGTGAAGATGGCTATGTGAAGATGAACTCAGGATCGTAGTAATGCATCTACAAGCTGGAAGAGAAGAATGTACAACAGAGCCTTCCCTAGTGCCTCAGAGAGACCATGGCCCTGCTGATACCTTGATTTTGGACTTCTGACTTCTAGAACAGTGAGGCAATACATTTCTTTGTTCTAAACCAGAAAGCAGAGAGGGAAGGGAAGGGAGAAAAAGAAAGGGCAAGCAAGATGGAAACCAGAGTCTCTTTGTAACCTAATCTCAGGAGTGGTATCCCATTACATGTGCCATATTCTATTCACTGTGCCTTATTCTGTTCATTCAAAGCAAGTTGTCAAACCCAGTCGACACGCAGGGGAGGGGATTACTCAAGGGTGTAAATATCAGTAGGTGGGATTCATTGGGGGCCATTTTAGAGGTTATTTCAACCTAGTAAGCTACAAGTCATGAGGCATTGCAGTAGGTGGTTCCCGTTAGGCCGAGATAGGGGAATGGTGTGAAAATGAAGATAGAATTAGAATTGCCAGGACTTGCTAACAGATTGGATGGGTAGGATGAATGGAAAAAAGGCGTCAAGCCCAGCTGATTGGGATGATTGCCAAGGGAGTCACAGAGAGAAAACATATGAGGAGAGGCAGATTTGGGAGAAACGTCAGTTAACAAGAATAGATTTTAGGAAACTCGGCATTAAGGGATTAGGAGAGAAAGAACCGAGAATTCTTTTGGTTCCATTGACTTGCAGCAGCTGGTGTAGGAGCAAGACCATATGGGCTGGAGTTAGACCCGGGTTCAAATAGCGACTCTCCCCATCACTTTCAAGTCCTGTGCCCCTGGACAAACTACACTGATTCTCAGTTTCTCTTCTGTTAATGCTCAAGTCAATGCCTACCTCTCCGGGTTGCTTTTAGAGCTATATGAGATAAACTCTTTAAAAATCCTAGTACAGAGTAGGTGCTCAGTAAAGAGCACTGAGCATGGTATCCTCCATGTTCTCAAAAGTAGATATGAAAATATCCTTCATCAGTGTCTCCTTACAGCCATCAGATAACCCCATTTATATCATGTTACTTTGTTAACTTCAACAACTGTCATGAGGTTTACTTCTATATACCTGTATGGTTCCAAATCATTTTATATGTGTAGGTTTTTTATGTATATGTCTCAATCGTGTCACACAAATATCCCCCACATGTGGATACCCAAACATTTAAACTTGGATGTCACTAGCATTCCTTATGTGCATAAAATTAGTGTGTTGCTTTCCTTCTGTCTCTCTCTTTCTCTGAGGCCTACTCCAATGTCCAGCTAGAATGTCATTTTTAATAGCCTCTCCTTTTATTGGGTAAGAAGACAGTATAGTAGGTTAAAACAAAACAAAACAAAAACAAAAACAAAAAACTAGACTACATTTGAAGACCTGGGTTTGAATCCTGATTTTCTTTTTAGCCATGTAAACTTTCGGGGTTCCAGCTTCCTCATTCATAAAAATGGGGGACAGTATGACCTGCCTTATAGCCCTCCAGAGGAAATGGCCCATGATTACAGAGGTTGCCATCATGCTTGTCTTCCCTGTAGCAACTCAGGGGTCAAGGCCATGTCATTGCGTCTACTGTTGCTTATTTTCTCAGGCCCACCGATGAGCCCTTTTTGAAAGCTCAGCCCACGTACTCTCCAAATCCAAACCTGAAGATTTCGGATTTAATTGAGGCAACAGCATCCAGTCTGACTACCCAGGACAGCTCTGTCTTTAGACTCCAGGGCTATCCACTTTTCTGCTTTGTTCTTGAAACACTAATTTCTAGCAGATGTGTTCCCTTTATACATGGGGTCTGGTCTGGGGCGACTTTCTAAGGAACGACTCTGCTCCTGGCTAGAAGCTCAAGCTTTGCATGAAGGGACTTATGTCCAGAGTTTGTGGGTTTAGTTCCTAAACCTCATTCACCCCCTACCTCCACGTCCACAGTATTCTCTTGACATTCTTATCTGAGGACTCCTCTGTGCATCTGCTGGCCCCCCCTTGAGTTCATGTGCTATGTGGCATCTCAGCTCTCCTCCCTGGTACACCCCCACACCTCCCTGTCCCGGCACTTGCGTGAAGGTGACCACTTTTGATATGAATCATCACAAGAGACCTCCCACTTTAGGTATCACCTGAGTTGGCAAAACCTCCCACCAGATGTCTGTCCCAGCCTCGAATTTCCTATCTGGGGAACTCCCCAGAATCCCTGTGTTGCCAGGACTGGGGTTTGCTTGCCTCCCTTTGAGCCCCCCTCCCTTCCAGCGTTGTGGTCCTACCCCTTCACCCCAACTGAAATCCTGCCACTGGGTTACCACTTCATTCTCACTTCCTGCTATTGTCAGGGTTGCATGTTTAGATCCAGAAACACTTTTAGTTGCTATAGAGGGACTTATTGTTTCTTGCTACAGGGTTATTCTTGTTCCATGTGCTATTCTCTCGGTCTAGAATGCTCTCTGTCTCCCTGTCTTTCAGCTGCTAACTCCTTTTTAAGCTTTGGTTCCAATGTCACTCCCTCCTTTATCTCAATTCTCGATCCTCCTGCTCCTCCTGTGAAATCTCCACCATCCTGTACCTCTCCCATCACAGAGCTCATCACATGATAGTGACATTTCCTTTTTATTTATACATAGTCCCTTCTAGATTCTAAGCTTCATGATGACAGGGAGTCCATCTTCCCACTGTATTCTTGCGCACAGTTGTTGAATAATGAATAACAGTAATATTATTTCTTATTATAATATAATAATTAATGAATTACTGTGAATAACAAATGTTTTTCCAGATGCTAGCTAAGTGCTTATCTGAATCAGAATATCTCTTGCCCTGACAGGAATCAATGTCACGTTCTGATGCCTGATCCACACCCTTGCAACACTCTGCTTGGCCCCCTACATTCCAACAGAGGTGTTTGTTGCTGTGCCTTCCAGACACTGCATCTGGCCAGTGGGACCTCCTCAAGGGAAAACAGTTGATCCTGCAATGGTGTGTGTCTACTTCTTCCCAACCTGTCCCTCCCTACTCTAGTTTACATCCTGAAGTAGGCAGCTTCCAAGATGGCCCCCAATGATTCTCACCTCCTGGCGTTCATGCTTGTGTATACACTGAGTAGAGTTGAGCCGTGTAACCAAGAGGATGTCGCAGAAAGGATGGATCATGACTTTGGAGGACAGGTCATAAAAGATACGTGGTTTCTGCCTCATTGTCTCTTGGGTTCTTAGCTCTGAGAGAAGCCAGCTGCCATGTAATGAGGACACTCAAGCATCCCTAGGAAGGAGCCGAGGCCTCCTGCCAAGAGCCAGCTTCAGTTTTCAACATGTGAGTGAGCCATTTGGGAAGATCTTTTCTCCATTCAAGCGTTCAGATGGCTGCAGATCTGGCAAACATCTTGGTTACAACTTCATAAGAGACCTTGAGGCAGAACCAGTCAAGCTTCCCCTGAATTCCTACTCTATAGAAGCTGTGAGATAATACACATTTCTTATCATAAGTTTCTAGGTTTGAAAATTTGTTACACAGCAATATGTAACTAATTAAATTCCTTATTTCACCAGTGAGACCACTCAACCAACCATGAAAGCCCCGTCTTAACAGGATGACAAAAGTTGAAAATACATATGAAAACCTGACTAAAAGTGTGAAAATATGGTAATTAAGGCCAGCATGTGCACATGTGTGTGCACACACACACACACAAAACAACAAGTGTCTCCCTCATTTCCCATGGTTCCTAGCTGAAACAAACCGCTGACCCATTTAAGCATAATACAGATGAGAAGAAAAAAAAAGGTAAGGGGGACCTAGGGGGTTCAGTCAGTTATGCATCTGACTTCAGCTCAGGTCATGATCCCAGAGTCCTGGGATGGAGGCCCACATGGACACCCGCATGAGGCCTGCCTTGGGCTCAGCAGGGAGTCTGCTTCTCCCTCTGCTCCCTCCCAGCCTCCCCCCTCATGGTTGCTCAAACTCTCTCTGAAATGAATAAATAAAATCTTAAGAAAAAAGGAACAAGGTAAAATTTTGCTCTAAAGGAAACTAAGTAAAACACAGTATCCATGTTTGGCTTTTTGGGTGGAGTGCTAATTCTACATCCCAAGAAAATCCACTGGTCAACGTAGAAAAAAGAGTGGTAGGAGGATGTAAAATAGATATACTAATAAAGGGGCAGCTTTCTTGAGACAGATGTTTTTCAGCCTAGGAAGATAAAGGTTGAGAGGAAATATAATATCAGTCTTCAATATCCTACAGGCCATGGAAAAGCTAAAGAGGAATTGTTCATCTGATGTCAGGGTGAATGCTTAGGTCTTTAGCAATATGGCCTTTGTGGCAGTCTCGTCTATATTTGGATTATAAAAAAAATTATCCACACCAGGAACTAAACATATTTTTTTAATCGTACAGAAGTGGCATGTAAAGCTTATAAACAGCACAGGCTTTGGGGAAGCTGGCCTGTAAAGGTAATAGCCCCTCCTCACCTTAACGAGCCCCAGGGTTGGTGTGTCTGAGCATTCGAAAGGTCTTGCAGTCCCCTCATCCAAATCAGCCGTCTAACGAGCGCTCTCACCTTCTCTCACACCCTTCCCAATCCATTCTCCACAAGGCAGCCAGCATGCTCATTTTCAAATATAAAACCCATCATCTCTCCTTCGCTATGCCCTTCGGGGTCCTCTCACTGTCCTTGTGGGGCAGTACAGCCTCCTCACGGTGACTGCTCAGGCTCCGCAGGCCTGGTCACCCCCCGCCTTCTTTCTCTTCTGCAATACCCCAGCCCCTTCCTATCTCGGGCTTTGGCAGCCGCGGCATATCCCATGGCTGACGTACTGTCCTCATTCGGGTTTTGAGTCTAACTCCCACATCCCAGAAAGGCTTTTCCCGACAATCCCTTTGAGCACGTGGTTGCTTTCCTTTGTAGCATTTATCATTATCGGAAAATAATTTTTTTTCTTGCTTGTTTATTGTCTGTTCGTATCACCATGCCCTAAGTTTCAAATGTCTTGCTCGCCCTTGTACTCCCAACACCTAGCACTGTGATTGACATTTGTCATCCTCCTCCTCCTTATTAGAATAGTGAATGAGGCAAAATAGACAAGTGAAGAGCTGGCTATTTCAGGGCAAATTTCCATAATCAACACCATTTCACACACTCTTCCCTCCTTCTTTTCCCTCCTCCCTCTGTCCTTCCCCCAACCCTCCACCTGCTCTTTCCATGTCTCTGTGGCTTGCAATAGGTAAAAAGTCTCAGCTTTTTACTTTGCTGCTCCCGGAAAGTGCAAAGCAACTATACTCTGCTTTTAGCTTCTGACTGAAAGATTTCATGACCTGAACTGGGGGCTCCCTACCTGCCTGAGTTTGTCTAACAGTAGAGGGAACATGCGTTTCCTGTTTGGGGAAAGACTTTTGCACATATTTAGCTCAGTGGTGTTTTTCTGTTGAGGTGTAATCCTAATGTGTGGCAGAAAGTGTTGAGTGAGTGAAGGAAAGTGCCATGCGAGGTAGCACTATTAATAGCAATCTGGAAAACGGACACCTGCAGGAGAGTCAGCCTCACGTCCAACCATAGAACTTAACGTTTGTGCCAGCTACGAAGTAGCAGAGCTTTCCGGGACCATCGCCCTGGAAACAGCATCTACTGAAATGTCCTCCTTTTTCATTTTTGTCATCCTGCCTGTTAACAAGACCCTAAATAATGTAACAGAAAATAAACAATAGTATTGTATTTGTTAAATTTTTTGTGTTTTTTACACATACTTTGGTAAGTTTTCATTTGGTTATTATCATTGTCATGAAATTGACTATATGCTTTTACACTAAGATACAGAAGGACTTCATTTAATTTTCATTTTCGTTCATATTTTTCCCATCACATGTATTACCTGGGATAATCACTTTTTGGCATGATAACAAAACAATAGAATAAAAATCAAGGCCTGAGGCATTGCCTATTGTATTAGCTTTGAAATTGGAAACCAAGAGAATAAATATTGAGAAAAGTTCTCTTTCTTTTTATAAATAAAAGCCTTATATCCCAAAATGTTTTTAAAGAGTATACCCTAGGCTTATCTAGCAGACTTTACTTCCTTATAACAAGATCTATTAATGAATTATCAATAATCAAAATTAAGTACACATTGAGGATTGCATATCCACAATTCTGAAGTTTAAAGTGGTCTGAGAACCAAGAAGGGTTTCTGTTTGTTTGCTTTTGTGGCAAAAAAAAATCGAACCAGAACTGATGCTTTACTGTTCGTTACCTTTATGTATTTCACTGAGTGCGAACAGCCATACATTTTACAACAGAAATATTAATGTATTTGATCGGGGGTGTTGCCTCAGCCTGCACTGGAAATGTTATTTAAAAAAGAGTGTAGGCACTTTATTCTCTTTGAAAGAATGTGAAAACTTTGAATTCAGTAACATATAAAATCTCCACGTTTTCACCCAGGGCACTGGGAACCCGGATCACAGAATCATAAATAAATGTTCAAGTTGGAAGGTACCTAGGAGATAATATATTCCAACCCCCTAATTTTATGAATGAGGACACTGAGTCCAGAGAAGTGCAGTGACCTGCCAAAGGTCTTACTACTCGGTTAGTAGCAGAGATAGAAATAGACTCCACTCCCCAGGTGCTCAAGTCGCGGGCTCCTTCCACTCACCGCCCTTCAGTGAACTGTTGCCCCGGCATCTGGGATTTCTAAACAAGAGAAATACATAGGAGCGTGCTCTCTACTCCAGACCCGCTGCTGCACATGCCTACTTTTGAAAGAAACCATGTCCCTTTTCTCTTCCTAAATTGATCCCTATAGAATTGTGCTGATTCTGCTAACTGGCACAAGGACAGACACTGTCACAACCCTCCCCAGTTTGGTAGGCACCATTCCAAATGCTAAAAAGGCCAAGTCCTTGACTTTATACTCCAATTTAACTTCATTGTCTGATCAGTTACTGTTAAAAACATGCCAGAACGCATATTAGCTTTCGACCACCAGGGATTTACTGGGCTTCTCTTGTGTGTCCAGGATTGCAATATGCTAAATCAGTGATTTTCAGTCAAGGGCGATTTGCCCTTTGGGGAATATTTGGCAATGACTGAAAGATATTTACTTGTCACAACTTGGAATGTGCTATTGGCATTTAATAGGTAGAGGGCAGGATTGCTGTAGAAACCGTTCAATGCACAGGACAACCCCTGGTCCAAAAGGTCAATAGTGTTAAGATCGAGAAAACCAGGGACTAAACATATACCATTATTCAATTTTTCAGAGACTCTATACACTAATTTCGAAACAGGAACTTAACTAATATTCATGAAGGTACAAAGCATAAATAAATACTAAACTCAGTGCTCTAAAGATTCAGAAACAGAAGACCGAAGTTCAAGCCCCACCTTGTCATTTCTTTTCCCTGTGATCTTTGGACAATCATTTAAGCATTTGGGGCCTCAGATTTATCTCTAAAACAAGGCTATTGATAACTCACCTACATATTTTATTGGGCTGTTACAGCAAAAGAGATAGTGTTTTCGAAAAACCTTTGAGAACTGTAAAGTTCTATAAAACGATAGTACCACAATTCTTTACAACACTGCACTGTCTTTTACCAAATACAGATAGACATGTTGTAGAGATGTCCAATATCTCCTGGTGGTCCAAGTCGGGAACCCCACATCTTCCTAGATCCCTTTCTTTTCTCACTCCAATCAGTCAGTAAGTCCTGGGGAATCTACGTTTTCTTTTCTTTGTTAAAGGGGGTAAATGCAAGAATAGAAATCCAAATTAATATTCCACCCAGACATTTATTGATGAAATTAACATTGTATCACAGACTAATGGTTCAGCACTATTGAGTTAAGCTATGTTGCCCTCTTCCTCTTCTTCGGTCTTGCCTTCCTATCCCTTGAAATTTCCTTCCTTATTCTTTGGGAGAAAATAACTTCCTGAAGACTCAGTGACAGGGCTATTGTTCCTTATTGCTACCTTTGTTTTTGAGGGTGAGTAGACTTAAGACCAGGTGGATAGTTGTGTTCAGGGTGAAAATCAGGACGCAAGTGAAGGCGTGGGAGAACATCATTTGAGGTCTAGTGAAGGTGCTCAGAACTTTGGAATCTTTGAGGATCTCTGGGACATCTTCTTGGCAGGTATGAGCTAACTGACCAAACTGATAACACCTACCATACAGGTAAAGGGTACCACAATCTACTACTTTGTGTGGAGTATTTTGTACTATGCACACTTAGTATATGAACTCCTATTTATGTAAAAGATCTACTACAGTTTAATTATTCACTCTCTAAAAGATGTTTTATCTGTGAAATTATTCCTAATAGTGTAATAAAGACTCTCCCAGTGTGATTAAAACATATTTTTAATTGAAGTATAATTAACATAGAATCATATATTAGTTTCAGGTGTACAGCATAGTGATTCAACCATTCTATACATTACTCACTGCTCACCATGATATAGTCACCATCTGTCACCACACAACGTTATTACAATATTATTGACTATATTCCCTATGCTACACTTTCCATCTCTGTGACTTATTTAGTTTATAACTGGAAGTTTGTACCTCTTAATCCCCTTTATCTATTTTACCCATGCCCCCGCCTACCTCCCCCCTGGCAATCACAGTTTAAAAAAAATTAAAACATTTTGATTTACAAACAAATGCTTTAGAAGCACATCTCTTCTGACATGTCGAGTGATGTATATGGGGTGGAAAGGAAAGGACAAATGGACAGTCTCTGCATTGATGGAAGAATTGTATAGGTACAATTAGAAAACAGAAACAATTCTTTCAAGAATTGATTGGCCCAGATCAGTTCATAGAACCAAATTCCCTTTTTAAATCCATAAATTCTTCACCGCTTATAGCATACAAATCTCATACTATGATTTCATAAAGAAACTCGGTGAAATGATTTATTTTTATTTTCTTACTCTTGCTGTTTTGAGCTCTATGATGGCATGGGACCTCAGCATGCAGAAGTTCTAAAATAAAACATCCTTCACAAATTTCCGATGTTTCTCAGTGGAATAGCCATGATTATGATTCAGTTAAATAATATTACTAGCTGGCTGTTAATAAAAAACTACAGGTTTTTTTTTTTTCTTCTGTGATACTCAGAAGGGTTATGTTTTCCCGTGACATAGGTTTTCCCTATTACACAGGATCATGCACACTCTGAGTTGACCCCACCCATAAAGCAAGGGAGAACAATCTTGCCAGGCTGTGGAATTTGGCTCCGTCATCATGCACACCACCACAAGAAGCCAGACTGGAAACTTCCTTCTGACCCTACACACTAGTTGCCTTTCTCTTCCCAGACCGTACATCTCTTTGACTTTAGTTCACTCCATGTATGAACCCCAAAAGTCTCCTGGTGGCCTGGACGACTGAGAAGCAGAGAAATGGGAACAAACCAGATTAGAGCTCATTTTACAAATTGTAAGGAGATCTGAGTTTGCTGGTACTCTAACCTCCCACATGATATAAACTAGATTGTTGGTGGTGATTTTGATGTCATTTCCTGGGCCCGAGTTATTTCCCACTTGTCAGTTTCCTCTCTGACCTTCAGGCCGATGGGTTTGCACTGGGACCATTAACTTCAGAGAGATGTCTGCTGAGTTTATCTGGAGTTTTACTCTGTAAAATCACATACCAGAATGAAACTTGCTCCTTAAACAGTTCCAGCAGATTCCCCGGGGAAAACAAAAACCTCTTTCTAACCCAAAAAAAGCCCATCCTCTATTTTTTTCTTTCATTGAGCTCCATCTAATGGCAATTTCATGCTTTTCAACAGGGAGGGAAAGGCATGGTCTCCAGGCAAAGGCAAAACTCCCCCAGCTGTAGCACAGGGAGCTGAGTTTGGCCTTTTCCCAGTAACAGTAGTAAGCCTTGAGGTTTATCATTTGCTGCATCAGGATTTTACTGATGGGATTGATTTCAGGTCTGGGCACAGAGAAAGTCAACGAAAGAGAAAGCATATGCTTTCACTTAATCATGTCACAAAGCAAGATGCCCCCGCTGCACAGCTCCAAGCAACATTTGGCAAGGGTTGGAGCCAGCCAGCTGTTCTAAATGCCAAGTCAGATAAGAAAATCACAGGCTTGAGGCTGAAGACTGCGGGAAGCCTCCCTCGTGGCCCCCTCACTGCTTTACTTCATAGCACTGCGGCAATGTAGAGACGGGCAGAAAATGCTCACAGTGGTGGGCATGCATTTGGCGGTGAAAACTGCAGGAACAAAGATACAATGCCTCATCGGTCGTTACGCTGCTCCCGAGTAGAGAGACCCATAGTAACTGCTCCCAGGGTGTCATTCAGTAACTGCTAGAGCCACGCTCTGCTGAGTCACTGGCCTTGGCAAGACAAGCTGGCCGGGACCTGGTAGGCAGGTGATAGAGGGAGGAAGAACCTGCTCTTTAAACCAAGCAGCAAGGCCCTTGCCTAAGACTCACTTTTTATTTTAGTCCATTCACTTCTTTTCTATGTTTGGTATATTTCAGCTCCTCAGAGAGCACTGTCGGTATAGTTATTTACAAATGTCTTAGTAAGTGCACCTACATCGGTCCTCAGGGAGCAGGAGGCTTTTTCTTCTCACCCACTTGCCCTTCTCTACGAACATATGGGCGTTACACACACACTCAAGTGCGCACACACACACACACAG